TGGTGAGGAGAAATTAGGAGATAGTCCTAGTTGTCTGTTATTGTGATTTTGAGTTCCTGTACATTTTGGGATTGTGAAACATAATCTTGGAGTAGTACATCTGCCCAGAATATCCCAAGCATGGTCCACAGGATTTAGGCCCAAGAAATATCCATGAAATGTCCAGTACTCAGTATTTTTAACTATTAGTGTAATAATCCAGATATTCCATCTGCCCCATAAGGGTCACCCCTGTCAACCATAAATAAATTCTAGACAAAATGCACTACGAAGAATACGTATATGACAGCAGAATTTGGGAGCTATACAACTGCGATGTCATTACTCCTCAGCCATAAGCAATCACTTTCTAGAGGACACTCCAGTGATGGTAACAACTACCCTGCTCTCTCTCTCTCTCTCTCTCATTCCACACTAGTTGATGACCACAATCATTGCTGATTGTGAAACATAATTTGTAACAGAACATGATTCTGGACCACTGCTGCAGATCGCATAAGTAACTGGGAAAGGAGAGTTCTTTCCAAGTTACTCAACAATATTTCCCAATCACGCCGTGCTCAAAGTGGAATGCACATAATATGCTTCTGTAAATATAAGCCAAAGCTACTTAATTGCTGAGAAATGGTTCTTACAGATACACAGGTGCTGGTAGCACTGGCAAGGTCTGCAGCTATCTAGTTAAGAATAGTATATCTATTCCTTAATGCAATTCAAGCAATATATCTATCAACCCTCTTGAGATGTGATGGTCATCTTATAGCCTTTGGCATTATTTCAGAGAGCACTTCTACCTTTGGGAGCCTTCCTTAACTATGAGATAACACTCTTCTAAAATGTGTCTATTAATGGCAACTTGAGTGATAATTTGTCCTCCATTGAGATGTCCAATTTTTTACCATGATTGTAGGCACTTAAGTGATACTCACAAACATTCTGCAGTCACTACTTGCCATCAAAAATGGAAATCTACAGAAATATTTTTAGAAGCCAACAAACACTGCCCCTTGCTATTATGAATAAAGAAACAACACAAGTGCATTACCTTTCATATATATATAAGAGGTTGTTGCTCTACAGTGCCTTCTATACTTTCTTTGACGGCAACTGTGTGGCTGCTGAGAATGGTAATTTGCGTAAACCATTTGCTCCTTAGCAATTGTCAAGCAGTGAAAAAAATATTCAAGCAAAACTTAAAGTAGCATCAATATGTAACTTCTATGCAGTCACAAAAGTTCTTCAACTATCTCTTTCGTGAGAACTGGCATATACTCATGTATTCCCTCTCTCAATCATCAAGGTGTAATATTAGAGGAAAAGAGGAATAATTTTGTAAGCAAATTTGGTTTTTCCAAATTATTTTAGTTTCACATAATATAGAATTTAAATATTGGGCTGGTGAATTCGAAATGACAGATCTCAAGTAAGTTAGAAATGAGAAAGCAAAAGGGTGGTTGACCTATGTGAAGGCCTCCCAGAAATATAATCTCCTCCTCCTCTTCTATGCAAACCAGAACTCCAAGCAAGCCCGCCTAGTAAAACGCCTCAGGAATGTAAGTGCAACTCTTTCCATTAGAAACCTGCCATTCAAACTAGAGTTGGGAAAAACAGTTTCCTCGGGAAAGTTTCTCATGGCATAGTGCATCGCATTTGAGATAATACTATTCCATTGCTCTATTCCAACAACTCATCAGTGTAAAGAGTGGACCATGGACAATTGAAGTCAGTTTTCCTTCATAAGTTTTCAGACTATGTCATTCTGCATTATACAATATTAGCATCTGGAACACATATAGCAAGTTGACAGGCATTGACTATGATACCTCACATAGTCTGGCTTCAACAAGTCTTTGAAACACCATAGCCACTGTGTCATTCTGCATTAGACAATATTAGCACATGGATTACATACAGCTAGTGAACACATTATCATCCAGCACAATACCTTACACAGTAATGGCTTCAACCAGTTTGAAATACACCAACCTGGTTTAAAAATTTCAGAACAAATTATATTTTAATTCAGCATAATAAAAACAAAATTATTTTTTAATGCATAAATGATTTGATTTTTTTAGATTCAACAGGACTAGCTCACTGGTTATGATTTGTGAAGATAACTGAGTCCATTACACTGAATATTAGTAAACTACATAATGAAACACTTATTAATACAGATGAGCTACAGATGTACAAATGATAGGAGGAAACTTACAAAACGACAACTCTGCTAAAGGAATTTCTATACGTAACATACCTAGAAACTACCTATCATCCCACTGTGCTCTGGTATCTGGCTGCAACATGCAAGGTTTGGACACATTGATGCTGCACGATCTCACTCCTACACACGGGGGATGTGGAATAAAGTTTAGCCTTCCATCATGCTAGAAAACAATATAGAGTAGATTCAGCATCAAATTGTTCCCAATAATAAAAAAGTAGATCTGGTATAACAATCTTCACAGATCTCCACACTAGCTGGATACAAATCATCATTTAATGTGCTTTTCAAAGCCACCTCTCCGTGATCAAGACTTGGTCTTACTTGTGGAATAGTGTATAGCTGACATAATTCAACATATCTTCCATAGAAAATATCTGGATCATTATTGTGCTGAACATCACAAAACGAACCAATTTCACCGGAAACAGCCAACACTCATAATGTTCTTGCATTACGTGACAGCATTTGTCCCCAAAATCTAGCTAATATTGCATAAGTTGGGTTATAAAACCCTTTTTCACCTACTACATTGATCAGATCTTTCTTCAACAAACTGTCACCTTTATTGCCAGCTAGACAACTTTTGTTCTAGCCAGAATTTACAAAATCACAGGCTAGAAGTAACAAAATATGTTTGCCAGGTAATCAAAGAATTTAGGTTACAGCCACAGCACAAAATTACTTCACACACAGAACTTACAATTTCACTAAGAGTAGGCAGAAATGCCTCGATGCCAAGAATTAACTTGATTTACCTTCCTGTTTGTTAAGGCCTTATATAAGTCAGTCACTTGTCAACCATTTAAAATACACTAATCAAATGCTATACAAAGTCCAAAATCTAGATAACCTCCCAACCACCAGCAGAAGAAAAAGGAAATTTTGATAATTTCTCCCCCCTTGTAAGATTCTTAGGAATGGAGTATATAATACACGAGAAAAAGTAGGTGCAGCTTAAAATCAGTTTTCTCCTCAATTACCTGAGATTCCTGTATGTCACTTTTAAACACCCATGCCATTCAGGAAATCACATCATGGACAATGACCATGCTTTGACAGGCATTGTATTGGCATTAGCTATGACCACATTTTTTACTCTTGAACAGTTGTGGGATCGGCATGGCCTTTCTATCCGATCTAAGCATCAAGTGAAGCTCTAAGATATATTTAGAGCAGGATGGTACTCATATTGATCATTTTAATGGCATAGCAGAAGTGACGGAAGATTCCAAAATATAGCAAATTAACTCCTAATTTCTCTTCTTTAACTTTCTAATTTGAGTCAACTCTTTATTCTTCCTGGCTATTATAGCAAATCGTGCCCTTCTGTGTTTTTAATTTCACTCAGCTTATTATTTTTGAATCTTGTTATTATTACAGGTACCTTAGTAAAATTAAAGTTTGAATAATGATTTAAAGAAAAACCATAAAGATCATGATAAAGTCATGTTTGAATGGGTGAGACTGTCACAGTGATGTCCATATTGGCTGAGGCCAAAATATTTCATCTGGAAATTTCTGAAATCCTGAATTGACAAAATGCTGATGATTCCAATGTCGGGCTTCACATGGGACACACTTTAACCCTTTGCGGCTCAGTGTTCCACTACATGGAACACCCAAATTGAATCGCTTCTGAAACCTTTAAATTCAACCGTAAATAGATAAAAATGCCTTTATAATATACTTTGAACTTTCTTTTTAAACAGTAGAGAGCAGCATATCACAAGGAGACACAGAATTTTCATTTATTATGTGTTATTAAAATCCACTTTTTTTCAAGTAATTTTCTCTTTTTAAAAAATTTTATTTGGAAAAACAATTAGGCATAATTTTGCTGGCTGTACTCCAAATTATCTGTTCTATATTTTTTTAAATCTTTCAGACAAAAGCCATACGCAGAATCGTTGAATAAACCCTGGTGTTCCATTAGCGGGAACACTGCGCCTTTAGCGATCTCATGCTGTTACGAATCAGGACATCTGTGGTTAGGAGAGAACATCCGTTGTTTACGTTTTCTGTTTCCGTTGCTTTTGGGGGGGAATAAATTCAAATAAAGCAGTATTGAGGGGTGAGGTCTGTTTTGTGTTATGAAAGTCCTAATATTGGAATCTCGAATTTTTTTAGACTAGTTTTTTAGGCGGGAATTTTATTAGTAGCTTGACTCATCTTTACTTAGAGCTGCGCGAATTTTTTGCTGTCACTTTTTAGTCTCATTCCAGTTTATTTTCAATAATTGTGTATATATTTTTCATGTATGTATATATCATAGGCTTATTTTTCTTTATTCTTAATATTAATCATAGTTAATTTTTTTATTATTAATTTTCCATAAATGGCGCGGAGAGGTCTATCTCTTTCCGAAAATTTGTAAATATTTTTGTATATAGGACTTGTGTATATAGATATTTATCTCATTTATCCGTATATATTCAAGAATATTGTGTATATCCAGGAAATCATGTATACAGCCATAATACAGAGTTTTTTTCATTCTTATACAAACGCTTCTACTCATTTTCGTGCTTCACTGCAATGCTCGCTTAGTCGCACTTTTAAAAGCTCTGGCAGCGCAGTGTTCCACCTCATGAAACACCTACAGAATTAAAACAGTAAGTGCATCTTTTACAAAATTTTACCTGTATACTCCTTTAGGACTAATTAGACTGCATACAACTTTTTTTGTTGAAATTCCGACGTTAACGTATAGTGCGCCGCAAAGGGTTAAAACAAGAAACTGAAATAAAAATGGTTTTGGATTCTAGGTACTTACCATAGCTTGAGCAACTTCATCACAGTTGTCAGTTTCAATATCAAATTCAAACTGTATAGCTTCATTTTCTTTATGTTTCTCCTTCCTCTTCTTTGGATCTAGTAAACGCAACCATAACTCAACTTTACTAGATGTACTTTGAATACTTTCTTCTTTGTTAACAAATTCTACTTTAAGCCCTAAGTCCTCCTGAAAGAATTCGAACTGGAGAAGATCTTTCACAGTAGGTCTATCTTCTTTTGTTGATGATATACAAATGCCAATAATTTCTTTCAGCTCTGGTTGCTCGACCTTTTTAAAATTCTGAGGCAGAATTCCCTAGAATTAGAACATAAATTAAAAATGATTTTACTTTCTGTCTCTCAATATCAACAAGTATGTCAGTATCAACCGTGAATGAATCAAACTAAAGTTCTGCTACTGCTGCTACAATTAGGATTTTTATAAATAGATGAATTTCAAAAATATTTAAAAAGCATATTCCAAACAAAAACAAAACATTTAAATCACACAAGCTAAAATACACATATTTCTATGACCATAATGCAGAAATTTTTCATATAAAAATTCTAAACAAATAGATAGACTGCTTCTATGTTTGGCAAGAGCTGAAAGTGAAATAAATTATTTTTTGCAAGAAACATAACAGCTTTAGAAAAAAGAACACATGATAAGCTTTACCATAGCGTATTTCATTTTTATGACACTTTTACTTGAGAATTCCAACTGATTAACAGTGGCAACACTTCAGACACTACAATTATACATGAATGTACACCTGAGTCATTCAGATATTTGCAATCTTTACCATTTTAATGCATTTTGTATGAAGTAAAGGGGGTAGTGTAATCACGAAAAATTGCGGGTTTCATATTTCAATGAAAATATCCATTTGGACCACTATCGAATGCTATTTAATAACGTTTTTGTGAACCATCCACATGCAAGGACAGAATAAAGGATCCCCCCCCAAAAAAAAGAATTATAAAGCTGATTTAAAATGCATTCAGGAAAGATTTTTTTTGTGGCGTCTATACATACGTATCTCACATAACTAAAAAATAAATAGCCTCAGAACATTGAAATTCCGTGTATAGGATGGCTATAACATGTAGTTGTGCACCTCCTTTTTTGGTTGCAAATGGCAGCACGAAAAGTATGATACCCACTGTTACTCGGCTCAGTGAGCTCAGTTCTTTTTTTCTTATATGTTGGTAAATTGTGCATTCTTTTGCTTTAAAAATGATTTAATTATGTTGTTCTTATCTTCCGGTTAAGGTTTCTAAGTCTTTAGTTAATCTGCATGCAATAGCTGTAGAATTATCAACAATTTAAAAGCTGTTTAAGTGCGGCTAAGATTAATTATTTTTTACCATAGCAGCCCTATTTGTTTATATTTGAAACTTAACAGAATAGTGAATTAAGTCTTTCTGCAACTTCAGTGTCTTTCTGTGAGTGGGACCAAAAGGAAACTTAGATTTGTGCACCAAAAAATCTGCCTTCTTCCCTGCTGGCCAAATTGTTTTTGCGCAGAAACTGTAATTACAACTATATTTTTTTTTAATTGTTTCAACTATTTGCTGCTTTATGTTTTTCTATATCTTTCAAGTTTTAATGAAGATATTTTGAGGTTTTATTTATCTCTGCTTTGCCGCAAAGTGAGAACTTAATTTATTGTATGAGGAATATATCTAATGAAATTCGAGGAAATAAGTTTAACGAAAGGCAGCGAAAATGTGTATAATTTTCATTATTTCATCTTTCTTTTAGCCCCACAATCCAAATTCAAACTATTCTTAACTTGTACCGTTAGTAAAGAAAAGCATGATTCAATAATCATCATTAATGGTTAAGACTGAGAAACCCAGCCAGAGAGGTAAATTCAGGAAATCTGGGTCAAATACTGATTTCAAAATTGATAAGAAGACACAACATTCCATTTCAAATTATTTTAAGAACTGCCATGAAGCTAAACTGAAAAATGAAATGACTGCAAATAAGTACTGCACATTATGTGATGATGAACGGCAATTCAAAAAAGCTCAGAAGGCTGTTTTGGAATTTTAACAAAAAAAAAAAGTTCCATTTATAAATGATATTCTGGGAAAAACAGATTTCCACTGAGAAGTCATTGTTATTCAAGGTAAATAATGACAGTGTTCAATTTCATCAGAATTTTGAACAGACACATTAAAAATCAGTTAAAATCTTGCAGCAAAAACACAATGTATATTTTGACAAAAATAACAGTGAAAATATAAATGCTTGCAAAAAAGTTATTTGGAAAAAGATCGTTAAAAAGTGAAAGCAAGCTGAACAGCTGATGAAACTACAGACAATTCTTCAAATCAAGTATCAATATGTGGAAGACTTTGAAAGAAAAACTATTTTAATAGAAAAGTGTTTTTTTTTAAATTCATGCTTGTAGTGGTGACATGGACAGAAGGCTCGTTTAATAACATTACAGACATTACAGATAACCTGACATCACTATGCTTAGATTTGAAACACATGGCTCTGATGATATCTCTGCCAGATTTGACATATTCAAGGGCTCATAAGCTGAAGAGAGAGAAATATTTCGTTCAGTACTTCTATGTGCATTAGGCTTCTCACTCATTCAGTTTGATACCTTCAAATGTATGCCACATTAAAAATATTCATAATTACATGGGAGCATTGAAAAATGTTCATATTTTATTTTATGACCACCCCAAAATGAAATTCTATTTTGCAAGAAATATCACATTTGCATCCATCTTTAAGAAGAAAATCTCTTAAAACACTTTGCCCCACTCGATGTATAGACAGACATAAATTTGTTAGGGTTATCATAGAATTATTAAAATTTTTGTGTTATGTATTAGAAATAATTGAGATTGGTGTGACAACAAACCATTTTCTTGAAATTTTAACTTAAAAATTCCACTTTTGTGATTGCATTATTCTCAGCTGCAAAAATTTTTTCATGTACACTGCCATTAAATAGGATTTCTACATACAAAATCGATAGGTCTCACTACAGAAGTTCTACTATGTGGCAAATTTTAAGAGAACTGCAGGAAATTAGTGATAATTCAGAAAACATTTTCAAGGTAATGTATTCAGACAAGGACACAGCTCTCAAGCAAATAGATGAAAAAGAATTTAAAATTTGTGTTATGCAGTTGGCAAGCAACAAAACATGTCATTTTAATATTATAACTGAATCCATCAAATACTATTTTCGAGTATCAGTTATTTTCAATCATAGCAAATTAGCTTATATATCTGCAAAACAAGCTTTTGAGGCCTGTAATAAAGCAATTTTTTCTAATACAGTACAAGGTCCAGACATCCAACATGCAGAATGATCTAAAATACAAACCTCTGGATCATTGGCACTTTTTAAGATTTTTTTTTATGCTTTGCCCTAAGACATTAGGTATTTTTTTCATAGTAAAGCATATGGATAGGTTTCATTCTTAATTTCCCACTTGAATTCAGCACTTACGTCAACCTGACAAATTATCATTCATTATTATGTACCATCACTACAAGACGGGCAGACGGGAACTTCAGAAATGAATCATGCAGCATTATGTAATTCTTTTAATTTTACTATTAATAGACTGCGACTAACTCGGCTGCAAAGCGTTGAGTTGAGAAGAAATTTCTTTCCAGTGCAAAAAATAACATTTTGTAAATTAGACTTACAGAAAAAAGATTACATTTAATGCTGCTAGAATTCAGAATAACTGATTGGTTACACAGTTAAGCCCAAATTCATGCCAGAACTAGTGTGGCAACACTGGGCAGCAGTATTTAGGAGAGGCCAAATTTCTAGAATTTAGAAAAGCATCGATAATAATGAGGGATGGAAAAATCTTTAGAAATTAGTGAAGGCACTGAGACGTAAAATTTCAAAAGTTTTGTAATTTAGGGAGGAGCTTGGCAGCAGAATTTTGCACCTGCAGAGACTGCACCATGCCACAAAATCTCTAGTGCCGGCCTAGATATGACTTTAGTATATCAGTTGTAGAGTTCCTCACTTTGTAAATGCTAATTTATAGTTGAAACATGAAGAATCTTAAGAACTAGTAAGCGAATAATCGCTTGAGTTCATGTAGATGAAACAACAAGCACAAAGGGTAAAATAACCCTTTATTATTCAGATAAAAGTTAACAGAACTCCATCTTGGAGTTTTGCAATAAAGCCGAACACTCTGGCTTTGAACTTAAGATTTTAAGAACTAAACTAAACCAAAGAGATATAGCCAAAGCTGCAGTTGGCCCCTTAAGCACAAGATGACTACGAAGCTATCAAGGGCCTGAGTATGGCCGAGCATAATAACAGCTTTGCGAGAGAGTAGCCAAAAAGGCAGATGCGCGCAAATCAGGAACTCTGATTCTCTCTAACTCAGTAAGTAGAACTTCGCGGTTAATACCGCTCTTCCTCGTTATGTATTCAGATGTGATACTAAAACAACGTTCTGCCCAGAAGTAGTTAAGTTGAAGCTAAGAATTTGACAGAAAAGGAACTTTAACTTAAAATTTAACTGTTAATAAAATTAACAATTCTTACATACTACTTAAGCATAGTCATAAGTAAAATGAATAGTTAATAACTAAGATAATTCAAGCTTAACTTCATCAGCATATGACAGAAGCAAGATAAAATTTAGTGGAAACATGTAATAGTGTACACTGGACACAAGCTAAGCTTCATGACCGCTGCAAATTTGGAGGTTTCCACATATCGCAACCAAAAAATAAAATTTTCCACTTAACAGAATTAGTGAAGAAATGCAGAGAAGGTAATAAATGAAGGCAATATAACAATTTGGTAATAAATGAAGACAATATATTTTTATCATGATGGCAATGCCCTAATAATCAATCAACTAACAGACAGTAAATTATTCTAAATGCAGAAACTATCACTACCGATAATGAAGATAGTGACAAAGAAGTTGTTCTGAATGAAAAAATTTTAGTTGACAATTTAGTGGGAATTCTCCACACAGTAATTACAAGACTTGAACAATGGAACTTTGTAACTAAACAAGAAATTATGTCTATCTATAGAATTAAAGAGAACATTTCACCATAAAAAACAAACAGAATTAAACAATTTAGATCGAAAGAAATGTGTAACTAAACAAGAAATTATGTCTATCTATAGAATTAAACAGAAAATTTCAACATAAAAAATTAACAAAATTAAACAATTTAGAATGAAAGAAATTATTTATAAAGCAAACAAATAAATATTGAGTTTCCTTTTATTTATTTTGATTCCTTTCAGGTCATAAATGCTTTATTATTTCATAAATTGC